ATAGTAGTATATAAAATTAGAACACAAAATATATAATAAGTATTATGATTAGAATGTATATAGTGTAAAAAATTTTTATTTAGAAATTTGAAATGTCGATTAGAATGTTTACTACTTCTATCATTAGATGGGGTCATTGACCTGAATATTTTTTATGATATCTATTGTTTTAATCAGATGTTAAAAATCTTGATCTGGATCTTCTATTGTGGCTTTCAGTATATCGATAGTTTCAATTATTTGATGAGTTAAATGTTGGAGACCTTGATCTGAATCTTTTATCACAACTTTCAGCATATCGATTGTTTCGATTATTCGATAATGGAGATATTATAAAATAATTATGACTTTGGCTTAAATGATAACTGTGACAAAACAATATAGAGGGCAAAATAAATCTATAACATAGTACAATATTTATTTTTTAAAACTTTCTACACTGCATTTTTTAAGTGTAAAAACAAAAATATCAAAAGTTTTGAAACAAAATGACAAAAAAAGTTTTTTTTAGTAGAATTAAAACTTTGATAGTTTTATTTTAAGAAAGAAAGTAAAAAATAAAAAAGGTTTCTTATATAAAAATTTACTTTAATAGGCAATCCACCTGAGACCTGGACAAAAATTTTTTTTATATATAAATTTTATTATAAGTGTGAAAGTACAGTGCCCCTATCTAAAACTTTTTTTTTTACTAAGTAAATTACTCTTGGGCTTCTAACAGAAGTTGTAAACCTCATCAAGATGCATTTAATAGTGAAAAAACATTAAAATTAGCTTGGTAGTTCTCGAATTATCTTTAAAAACTTCTTTTTTATATATAAACTTTCTTTAAAAAAAATCAATTTTTTTTAAAGAAATTTTATATGTGAAAAAGAAGTTTTTTAAAGATAACTCAAGAACTACCAGGCCAATTTTAATATTATTTCACTATTAGATGCATCTTGATAAGCTTTACAATTTCTGTTAGAAGCTCAAGAGTAATTTACTTAGTAAAAAAAAAGGGTTTAAATAGGGCACTGCACTTTCGCATTTATAATAAAATTTATATATAAAAAAAAATTTTTTGTTCACGTCTCAGGTGAATTGCCTATTAAACTAAAAAAAGTAATACTATATATCTAATTATTAAATGCTGATACTATAGATATTACTAAATAAAATATAAACAAAGTGAACATATATTAACTAATATGACTTAAATAATAATATGATATATTATTAATATAAAAAAGTAAAATTTGCTAATGTATACCATATTTTTTCAAAATTAAGCTACCTTTGAAAATAAGCTACCCTCCCTACTTTGGTTAAAAACTTCTAATATACCTAATACCTGAAAATAAACTACTTTTTAATTTTTGTCTGAAAATCTATAAAATTTATAGTTCTGAAAATAAACTACCTATATAAAAGTTATAACCTTTCAAATCTTAACTAATCAAACTTTAAAATATTCTAAATAGTAGATTAAACCTATACATATAGTAAAGCAGTTAAATGTATAGTAGCATTAAACACCTATATTAACTTTACTGTTCACTATGATTATTCTGTCATTAAAAGTATTTTTTTAGATTCAACAATTAAGACTCTTGAAAGCATTTTATAAATTTTCTGGTGATTCTTCAAATCAGTAAACCCTTATTATTCAAAGAAATTAGACAAGAAATTCACTTATTAGGAAGGTTTCAAAATTAACAATAAGTGACACATTTTGAAATTAAATAAGAGTTTAGGAAATCTTATTTGTATTTCAAAATTTTAAAATCAGAAAATGGAATGATGTCATTCATTTAAAATAAATATGTGATTTGTCAAAATTAGATTCCTGCATATTAATTTTAAAACCTCTACTTAATTCAAATGTATAGGAAGATCGATTAGGTTAAGTCAAGATCTCTAAAACCATTTTATTTTTTATCTATCAACTGTAAATATAAGTGCCAATTTTTTATAAACAGAATTCAAAAAACTTATTTCATCCAACTAATCTGTCATCATATCCAAATGATATGTACCAAAACCATATTTATATATCTGAATTTTTTAAAAAAAAGACTACTTCGCTTAACTAAAAAAAAATTTTTTACACTATATACATTCTAATCATAATACTTATTATATATTTTGTGTTCTAATTTTATATACTACTATTCTAATTATAACTATACTGCCCTATTTAATTAGCTTTAATTTTACACGTAAATGAAGCTCTTACATAAATTAACTCTGGTTATGCTTTTGTTTATAAATTCCCAAAAAATTACACTAAAACTATAGACATCAGATCTTATATTACTTCTTTAATTTTTAGTTATATGTGTGGAATAATACTAGTAATAGGATAGAGATAGAATGTGAAATAAAATTATATATATAATTGTATTGTATTTGCCGATTGGTGATATTTTTAAAATCTTCAGATTGCTAATAAGTACACCACTAATATTTGTTTTAAAACATTTAAGCAACTGTTAGTATATAACTTTCTCTAGTATTTCAAAGCATCAAAAATATAGAATTTATTGTATTATCAAAAATTATTACATTATGATTTTAGCTCTATTCAATATGCAATAAACTTCTTCACGATTTTTTAATACGAATATATCATTTGGTTTAGTCTTTAATGTTCTTAAATCTAATGATTGCTCATGTTTATTATGCAAATAAATTTCTAGTGTGAGAATCATTCATGGTTCTATTTAAACATTTATTTTGTTAATAGCCATTCTCATAATATTATAACTATAAATAAGAATATTCACTTATAATATATTTATTCTTACCTTTAATATGTATATATTTTAAATGACAACTCAGCATTCTGGTCAATTATTAAAATCATTTTCCTTGTTAGTACCTTTGTCTAAACCTTCATCTGAATCTTTGTCAAAACCTTTGTTAGTATCTTCGTCCATATCTTTATCTGTATTTTTGCCTGCATTTTTGCCCACACTATTATCTGCAATCTCATATTCATTATTATTTTCATCTTTATCTTTGTTATTAACAGAATCAGAATCTTCTAAATTCTTACTATCATTCTCGTAAATTAGATGATCCTTACTTCCTGATAAACAATTAGAAATGCAGCATTTTTTAAATACACAAACAATAATATCACAAGAGATATCATCCTACACATTTAACACCCAGTGATATACTGTGTTAAATCTGCATGTTTTAAATTCCCACTCTTAGTAAGACCATTACCACCGTTTACCATCCATCTATACTACTGTTGACAAAGCTTATCCTTGAAAGGCTTATTCACACAGATGTCAAGAGGTTAGTACAAGCTAGTAAGACCCTGGGAATAACAGCTAGATTTGTATTATTTGAACACAATGCAGTCTTAGCTCGCTCTAAAATATGTGCTGAAAAAGAGTCTAAGACAAGTATTGTTTTTGAATGAAGTCTCTCTGGTTGTATTCTATTCTAATATTTTATCTATCGTTCCATTTCTGACTTATCTATCCATCCTTTGTTTTGAAACCAAATGATTATACTAACTGAAGAAGAGGGCGTATTAGCAGGCCAAATCTTTTCTTTGAAGATAATAACTGGGGGAAGCTTAGTACCATCTTCAAGGCATGTTAATATTATGGTAGATCGATTTTTGTCATTTTCTGTTAACCGAATATGAACTGTTTTCATGCCTCTTGGATTTATAGTTAAGGTACCTACTATATCAAACCAAACTGGCGTTTCATCCATATTTGCAATTATGCCAAGAGGATAATTATTTTTCTGGCGGAGGTGGATAACAAACTGCTGAAATTTTAATAGCTTATTTTCGAGATCATCAGGCAATTTTTGCATAATATTAGTCTTGTGGTGAAGAGAAAGATTATACCGTTTTAAAAAATGACTTATCCAATACTATAAAAACTTAAAATTAGTGATTGCTAACTTCTTTACTTCATCTTGAGCTAGTCTTACACTTAATTTCATAATTTTAGCTATTTTCATTTTAATACTAGAATAATTAACCACAAAACCACCTTTACGAAGTTCTATTATCTATTCATAGAGTTGGGCTTCTTCTTTGAAAAACAATGCTTGATGTCCAAAACCAACCCTTCAGAAATTCTTTTAAAAAGAAGAGTCTTGTAAAAATTGTTTAACCCATCGGCCAACTATTGTTAAGTCAAGAAAATAGGGATATGTAGCAAATTTATTTGAAGTACAGCATGCCAATTCTACAACTTTACTTTTTTCTTCAACCATGTAAGAATTTCATTATCTTTTCATAGTTTTCATAGTTACTATAGTATGGCCACACAAATGAATTAATTAGTTTTTGTACTCTAAATAGGTTGTAACTTTTATATAGTAGTTTTTTCTTTTTTCCTCTTTTTTTTTTTTTTAAAAAAAAAAAAAAAAAGTAAAATAACCCTTTCTTTAAATAACAAACATTAAGATTTCAGCTTTTCTTCAATAGCTTATCATTATCATTATGGAAATTTTGATGATGCAAAATGTGAATTTTAAAGCCAAATTCTTCAACAAAATGTCATACGATCAATTAAAGTTATAGCTTATCATCATTGTTATAAAAATTTAGTAAATTTTAAAGTTAAACAAGTTTGAACAAAGTAACTTCTTGAGAAAAAAATAATTGTTATTCTCAGGGTTGCTTACTATGATAAATTATCAGTAAGTTACCACAGTAAGTTACCAGTAAGTTACTATAGTAAGTTATTGTAAAACATAAATAAAAATGCAAGTTATATTAGTAGCCTACTCTTTTAGTAACTTACTACTAACATTTATAAACTACTATTCTCCAATTTCAACTTGCAGGTGTATATTTTTGAGTAAATTTAACTTAACTTGGTGTATGATTGCTGGTAAGATGTAGAACACTGATTATATTTATTTATATTGTGCATAACAATAATGATAATAATAATTGAATTAAGGGCCCAGACACACTTTTTAAGAATTTAATACATGAATGCTGCAAAATAAATATTTAAGTTTTTACTGCAGTGAATCTACGTAGCCTCTGAAGAATTAGCTATATGTATTAGATATTAATATTCTATTGTTATTAGAATGTATATAATAAATTATATAATATCTGTAGATAACTCACTATACATAGCAAAAACTTTATTTATATATACATATAATTTTTAACCTTTAAAAGATAATAAACATGAGGATCTTTAATGTTAAGGTTCATATTCTCAAAATAAGCTACTTTGTTAAACTAAATTACTTTTAAAAACTATAAATCCTGAAAATAAGCTATCTCTTGTGTTATATTTAAATTATTTTAAAAGTCATACCTTCTGAAAATAAGCTACTTAACATTTTTGTATTCAAAATCTTCTAAAAAAAGGTAGCTTAATTTCAAGAAAATATGGTACTATTAGATGCATCTTAATAAGCTTTACAACTTTGTTACAAGCCCAAGAATGATTACTTAGTAAAAAAAAAGTTTTAGATAGAGCAGCTTCATATTCAGGC